GACGCTCTCTTGGATCATCTTGGCGATCTGTTTGGGGTCGCTGGGTCTTGTTAAGGCTCTTCGGGGGCTCTAGAAGCCCCAGGAGAAGCGTTTGCGAGCTCATGGGCCCGTGGGGGTGGGGCTCAGCGGGCATGTTGGACCGCAGGGGTGGGGGGGGGAAGGGCGAGAGGGACAGCAGTCGACTGATTCTATACATATATATATATAGATGTGTATATCGACATGTTCACACATACACACGTAGACATGCACATATGTATAGACCATGTTCACGCACATCGGATTAGTTCTTGATGCAACCTGCTAATCCCTCTCTCCCCTCATCTTGGGAAGGCGCGCTGCGAACTTCGCAGGGGTCTTAGATGTTCTCAGTGGTTCAAGGATCTCTAGCCATGTTCATCATGTGGCCTAACTGGCTCAAGCTACTGTGACTCTGTCTTGCTCAGGTGAGGCCGAACAGTTTGCGCACATACTCACTGACTTTTCCTTGACCTATTACTTCCATACCGTCCCAATACGAAGAATGGCACCTAAAACGGCACCCTGGACCATCTGGTTTGTGGCAGCTCCTCTCTATTGCTTTCACACCGCGACCTCGATCATGGTGCGCACAGACCCCTTCGAGGAGAGCACGGAGTCTATGCTTGAGGTCATCGTTCATGCACCAGGTGGAGGAGCTGTTCACACTGTAGGCGCGAATACGACGCGGCGCCAGAAGGGGCTTGGGACTTACTCAACCTCGTCGCTGGCCAAGGATTCTCCGCATTGCCTGACATGCGGGAGATTGGCGTATCAGTACGTGACGAACTCGACGAATGCGACTGCAACGCGTACTTTCCCATCTGTGTCTTTTCCTAACCCAGGTGGGGGTGCGATTGTGACTCACTTTTCCGTGCGAGCCCAAGGGGATATCTGTGGTATCGGCAGCCTTCAGTTGACCTTGGCGGGAGTGACAGCCACTTCTAGCTCTTGCCAGAATGGCGTTCCATGCCAGTGCAACTCGAACTATTGTACCTCGTGCACAGCGCCGAGCGCACAGTACCAATCAGGCATTCCGGGCTGGACTTGGGGCACCCATGCAGTCGCACCATCTTTCTCAGGTGCAGGGATGGCCATCGAGAGTCTCGTAATCGACATCTTCTACATCACTGCGACGCCCAGTCCGACGCCGTACCCGACGCCCTACCCGACCCCCTACCCTACGTATCCATCCGCCCCCCCCGACGTGCCCGATTCAATGCATTCTGCCTTAGCCCCCATGGCGGCCGGAGTGGCGAACGGAATCCTCCCGCCCGACGTTCCCGGCTCCATGCAAGCTGCCGGAGCTCCCATGGGGGCGGCCGGAATCTCTGGAGTGGCGAGCGGTTCCGTGGCCGCCATTGGTGATCCGCATTTGCAAAACGTCTTTGGCGAGCGGTTCGACCTGATGAGGCCTGGCAAGCACGTTCTGATTCATATTCCACGAGGAGAGCGTCTTGAGAATGTGCTGCTCCGTGTAGAGGCTGAGGCACGTCGATTGGGCAGTCAGTGCTCTGACATGTATTTCCAAGAAATTAATGTCACAGGGGACTGGGTGGAGAAGAAATATCGCAGAGGTGGAGTGGGTCTCCGTTTCCAAGCTCGGCGTGTGCGCGATGGAACGCCAAGTTGGATCACGTTGGGGGAAGTGCACTTGAAAGTTACCCATGGGCGCACGCAGCAGGGCACCCATTATTTGAATTTCCACGTGAAGAATCTTGGACGGTCCGGCTTTGTTGTCGGAGGCTTGCTGGGAGCAGATGATCACGAGGATGCTGCGATGCCTTCGAAGGACTGTGTTCATCAGCTTTCCCTCCTTCAGACTGCGGTTCTGAGTGATCCACTGGCGCCCGTATTCTCGACTGCAGCGGCAAGTCTCGCATGACGGCTTGCAATTTCAGGCTTGCACATTCGAGTTGATACTGATGTTTGCTGTGCTCTTCCGGTGGAGCTCTGCTGCTGAGCTGATAAAACTCCAGCCGATGCTTCTGAGTCTTGGGCCTCGGGTGCCTGCGCAGAAGCCCTGTCATCGACCAATGCAATCAGCTAGGCGTTGTCGTCCCAGCAGTGGCCCTCGAAGCCATGTGATTTTATATGTTTCTGGGACACTCGATTTTGACAGCCTTGCGAAAACTAAGGTTTCTGTGAGATTTCGGCATGCGCGCGTGCGCACTTCGTCCCGCTGATTCTTCTGCAATGTAGACTTGAAAATTTATGTGTTTGGGCTAACGAGTGCGCGCGCATAGTATTCTATGCTGAGGATGAGGGGGGAACAGACACTGGCTTGCTTGGGATTGTATGAATTCATATTTTAGGATTGACGATGGGCCAGATTCGTATGCAAATTGCAAGGTGGCCCCTTGACCCAGGGGGATGGATGGGGGGAGATCTTAATACTTTAAAGAATGGAGAACCACTATTGTGCAGTCAGGCCAGACGACAGGCGGCGACGGCGAGCACGGAGCCGCTAGACCTCCACCCAGGCCTAGACGACGGGCGGTGACGAGGCGGCGACGGGGCGGCGACGGCGAGCACGGAGCCGCTAGACCGCCACCCAGGCCCAAACGGGGGGCGGTGACGAGGCGGCCACGGGGCGGCGACGGCGAGCACGGAGCCGCTAGATCGCCACCCAGGCCCAGACGACGGGCGGCGACAAGACGGCGACGGGGCGGCTACGGCGAATGTATATGTGTGTGCGCCCCGAATGCTACATGTTTGCGCTGTGGATGTGTGCGCTGTGTGCTGCCAGCTACGTGGTGAAAGCTACGCGAGTTGCAAGCTCTGTGGTGTAAGCTATGTGGTGCGAGCTGTGTGGTGTAAGTTGTGTGGTGTAAGGAGTACGGTTCGGGTGCACACTCTTCGGTGCAAGCTATGCAAGCTCGGTGATGTAAGCTATGCGGTTCATACCTTTGCATTTCTGTACAAAACCAGCACACACACACCGATGTATACATATATATATATATATATATATGTATCTGTATATATACATATATATATATATATATATATATATATGTATGTGTATCCGTACTTGCGCAGATAGATGTGTAGTGTGAGCTCTGTTGCGGATATGGTTCGATGTAAATTCCCTACCTAGGCTCTGCCTAGAAGGGTTCCTACTCGGTATGCTTAAAGGGCCCTGCAGTGCAACTCGCCCCGGGCGGTTCCCCCCGCATCCGCCCCGCGGTTCCCCCAGTTACGCCCCCCTTAGCTTAGCTTAGCTTAGTTTAGTTTTGTCTAGCATAGCTTAACTGAGCTTAGCTTAACTTATATCATCTCATCGTAGCTTAGCTTGGCTTGGCCTGGCTTGGCTTAGCTTAGCTTAGCCTAGTCTAGCTTAACTTAGCTTAGCTTAGCATCGCCTAGCTTATCTTAGCTTAGCGCAGCGCAACATTAGCACAACATAGCATATCATATCATAGACAAGCATAACATAACCTAGCGTATCATATCATAAGTCAGTTTAGCATGTCATAGCATTGCTTAGCACAGCGCAGCATAGCATAGCATAGCACAGCATAGTATAGCATAGCATAGCGCAGCAAATCATAGCATCGCATACCATAGCATAGCGCAGCATAGCATATCATAACATAGCCTAGCATAGCATAGCGCAGCATAGCATAGCACAGCATAGCGCAGCAACTCATAGCATATCATAGCGTAGCATAGCATAGCGCAGCGAATCATAGCATATCATATCGTAACATAGCCTAGCATAGCATAGCGCAGCATAGCATTGCATAACACCGCGCAGTCGAGCGTACCCTAGCATAGCATACCATAACATAGCATAGCGCAGCATAGCAAAGCATAGCATAGCATAGCATAGCCCAGCATAGCATAGCATAGCATAGCATACCACAGCAGCAGCGCAAAGGCAAAGTAACAGCAGCAACAGCAGCATAGCAAGCAATGTAGCTGTCGGTGTAGATGTAGGTGCTGCTTCCCTAAATGCTCCAACTCCTAGGTAGGGTCGCACTGGGATAAGCATTTGTTTCAGGCTACATGGTGACAACTATGTGGTAAAAGCTGTGGTGAGGCCTATGCGGCCGCCCAGCGCACGAGGCACTCACTGGCGGGCACCAGGCGAAACCTCGGCTGACCCATCCAATTCCTCAAGGATCAGACGTAAGGAATCCTGCATAAGTGCAAACGCTGAGAGGATATGTATAGTCAATAGGCTTACGCCATTCGGCTGGCCCCCCAGGTTGAGCCTCATGGAGGGCTCTCGGGTGCATTTGGGGGCCTTTGGGGGCTTGTTGGGAGCCTCGTGGAGGCCTCTTGGGGCCTCTTGGTGGCGCCTCGGGGGCCTCTGGAGGTCTCTTGGAGCCTCGGGGAGGGAGAGGCTGGAAAGGTTAATCGGTATTCCCCCTCTTGGGTCCCTCTTGGGGCCCTATTGGTGCTCTTTTGAGCCGTCTTGGGAGCCCCTGGGGCCGTCTTGGGTCCCTTGTGAGGCCAGCTTGAGGTCCTCTTGTGGGCCTAATGGGCCGTCTTGGGACGATCTTCGGGGTCCCTTAGGCTGCCTTGGAGGCGAGTGTGAAAACCATGCATGTTTCCCGGAAGGGATGAAACGAGTTTTGCCTCTTGGGGCCCTTTTAGGCGGTCCTCTGGAAGCACTCGTGGGCCCTCTTCGGGGCATCGTGGGCCGCCCTCAAGCCATCTTGAACTGTCGTTGGGCTACCTTGGGCCGGCTCGACGCTCTCTTGGATCATCTTGGCGCTCTGTTTGGGCTCTCTGGGTCCTGTTAGGGCTCTTCGGGGGCTCTAGAATCCAGAAGCCCCAGAAGGAGCGTTTGCGAGCTCACGGGCCCCGGGGGGCTCAACCAGCATGTTGGACCGCAGGGGGGCAAGGGCGAGATGAACAGCGGTCGACAGACTTTATATCTCTGTATATATACATACATTTTCACACATACACACATATACATGCCCAGATGAACAGACCATGACAACACATCGGATTCATTCTTGATGCAACCTGCTAATCCCTCTCTCCCCTCATCTTGGGAGGGCTCGCTGCGAGCTTCGCAAGGTTCTCAGATTTTGCCATTGGCCCAATGATCCCTAGCTCAAGCTACTGTGACTCTGTCTTGCTCAGGTGAGGCCGATCAGCTTGCGCACATACTCACTGACTTTTCCTTGACCTATTACTTTCATACCGTCCCAATACGAAGAATGGCAGCTCAAACGGCACCCTGGACTATCTGGTTTGTGGCAGCTCCTCTCTACTGCTTACACACCGCGACCTCGATCATGGTGCACACGGACCCCTTCGAGGAGAGCAAGGAGTCTATGCTTGAGGTCATCGTTCATGCTCCAGGTGGGGGAGATGTTCACACCGTAGGTGTGAATACGACGCGGCGCCAGAAGGGGCTTGGGACTTACTCAACCTCGTCTCTGGCCAAGGATTCTCCGCATTGCCTGACATGCGGGAGATTGGCGTATCAGTACGTGACGAACTCGACGAATGCGACTGCAACTCGTACTTTCCCATCTGTGTCTTTTCCTAACCCAGGTGAGGGTGCGATTGTGACTCACTTTTCTGTGCGAGCCCAAGGGGATATCTGTGGTATCGGCAGCCTTCAGTTGACCTTGGCGGGAGTGACAGCCACTTCTAGCTCTTGCCAGAATGGCGTTCCATGCCAGTGCAACTCGAACTATTGTACCTCGTGCACAGCGACAAGCGCAAAGTACCAATCAGGCATCCCGGACTGGACTTGGGGCACCCATGCAGTCGTACCATCTTTTTCAGGTGCAGGGATGGCCATCGAGAGTCTCGTCATCGACATCTTCTACATCACTGCGACGCCCAGTCCGACTTCTCACCCGACGCCCTACCCGACGCCCTACCCGACGCCCTACCCGACGTATCCATCCGCCCCCCCCGACGTGCCCGACTCAATGCATTCTGCCTTGGCCCCCATGGCAGCCGGAGTGGCGAATGGATTCCTCCCGCCCGACGTTCCCGACTCCATGCAAGCTGCCGGGGCTCCCATGGGGGCGGCCGGAATCTCTGGAGTGGCGAGCGGATCCGTGGCCGCCACTGGTGATCCGCATTTGCAAAACGTCTTTGGCGAGCGATTCGACCTGATGAGGCCTGGCAAGCACGTTCTGATTCATATTCCACGAGGAGAGCGTCTTGAGAATGTGCTGCTCCGTGTAGAGGCTGAGGCACGTCGATTGGGCAGTCAGTGCTCTGACATGTATTTCCAAGAAATTAATGTCACAGGGGACTGGGTGGAGAAGAAATATCGCAGAGGTGGAGTGGGTCTCCGTTTCCAAGCTCGGCGTGTGCGCGATGAAACGCCAAGTTGGATCACGTTGGGGGAAGTGCACTTGAAAGTTACCCATGGGCGCACGCAGCAGGGCACCCATTATTTGAATTTCCACGTGAAGAACCTTGGGCGGTCCGGCTTTGTTGTCGGAGGCTTGCTAGGAGCAGATGATCACGAGGATGCTGCGATGCCTTCGAAGGATTGTGTTCATCAGCTTTCCCTCCTTCAGACTGCGGTTCTGAGTGACCCACTGGCGCCTGTATTCTCGACTGCAGCGGCAAGTCTCGCATGACGGCTTGCAATTTCAGGCAAAAGAGTTGATACTGAAGTTTTGCTGTGCTCTCCGGGTGGAGCTGTGCTGCTGAGCTGATAAAACTCTAACCGTTGCTTCTGAGTCTTGGGCCTCGGGTGCCTGCGCATGAGCCCTGTCACCGACCGATGCCATCAGCTAGGCGTTGCCGTCCCAGCAGTGGCCCTCGAGAAACTCCGTGGGTCCGTGAGCCATCGATCTGAGAGGAGGCCAGGAGGCTCGGAGGTTTAGCCCCAACCTTGTGCACCAGAAGGCTGAACATACACACAGCGTGGCTGGCCTGGGCGAGAACTGGAGGCACGTGCAGCTGCACCTCTGCCCAGCGCCCGGCCCTTCTGTGGCCATCCGCGCTGGGCGCATCCAGCGGGCATCCAGCGTGTGGCCTCCAGATGCTCCACGCGTGGATCCAGCTGCGCGTGTGTTTCCAGGTCCTCGGCAGTCGTGCGGTTGCCTCTCCCCGGCATGACTTGGGTTGGGTGCTTGGGCATGGCGCCGACGAGCGCTGGAGAGACGGCCGAAGAACGCCAAAGGCCCAGGGGTGAAGGGGAATGCACGGTCGACATCATCGTGAGCCCGTGCAGTAGGGCATGGCGTGACCCCCGCAGATGTGTGATTGGCGCCGCGGATCGCCCTGGAGGTGCCGTCGGAGGCGGCGGCGCCAGGGTGCTGAGAACGCCGCAGGCTACTTGAGGAGTCTAACGAGGCCAGCCGGGACTATCGGGGAGGGCGTCTGAGCGCAACCCGAAGTGTCACCAGCCCCTCTCGTCTCACTTCCCTTATTCCTCTCGCAGTCTCTCTCTCTCTCACCCCCTCACCGTTTTCATTCATGCGGCCAGAGCACAGTAGCATCGTGATACGCCCTAAACTGATTGGTGGCAGGCCAATGTTCTAGAGACCGTGGGTGCTGCAGGGGCGCGAACAGAAGCGCTCTTCGCGCTTCGCGGCTGGGCTCGGAGAGGTATCTTTCTCCAGCGGCCAGCACGAAGGCGAAACGATAGCCGCGCCTCCCGCTTCGCGCGGCACCAGTCGCGAAGACAGGTGGCCTAGGAGGCCGTCCTATCAACATCGTAGACTGCGAGACGTCTCTTGGGACCACTGGGCCAGCGGCCAGCAAGACATCCACACTCTGGCAGGCGCAGAAAGCCTCCTCAACTGGAGCGCAGCCCGCCCGCAGGGGCTTCAGAGAGGAAGAGCCGCGAACAGCAGAGGGCCGTCTTCCCTGTCAGCTTGAGCTTGCCACGAGCTCGCACCTCGGAATTCGAGGATCAGGCGGCGAGGCTCTTCGAAACCGGGCGGACGAGGTGGTGTGAAGATGGCAGGTGCTCAGAGAAAATCTGAGCGTTGGCGAGAGCGAGCGTCGAGCGATCCCGATCGTCTTCGGAGTGCTGGGCCAGTGGTGGTGGTGGGGGGGGGGGAGGAGTGCGCCGTGTTCGGCCAGACCTGGTCCCTCGCAGGGGGAGGGGGCCCGAGACCCTCGAGCCCCCCGCCTAAGACAGTCGCCCCTCCGTACGCCGCCGCTGGCGTCGACCGTGCATTTCCGCGCAGGAGGAGGAGCAGAAGGAGGAGGAGGAGGAGGAGGAGGAGGAGGAGGAGGAGGAGGAGGAGGAGGAGGAGGAGGAGAGGGCGAAGGAGGAGGAACCTGCCTCAGTCAGGGATATCGGGCGGGAGCGCAGTTGGCGCGAGCCCGCTCGCCTTCGCCACCCCCTGGCAGCGCCCCGCGGCGGTCTCGAGGGCGGCCCGCCTCTCTCGAGCGCTGCGGGGCGAGCAGCGGGCGGCGGCACTCGCCCGAGCCGAGCGCGCTGTTGGGGAAGAGCCCCAGTCTGCTGGATCCGGTGGCCAGCGAGGGAGGGGGAAGTGAGGAGGAGGATGCCTTCTCTCGAGCAGTGGCGACGCGTTCTGGCTCGCCTATAGGTCTACCAAAGAATGTCCTAAGTACCGCTTGCGGTTTCCACAACATGTTCTTATAATATTTCTGCCTGGGACTGTCTTGTTCCAACACATCGTGTTTATAGTTTAAGAACATTGTTCCTGTTCTTAGAACATGTGTGGGTTCTAAGAACAGTTCGTGGTATGCCTATGAGAATACGGGGACGGTCGGTCCCTGCTCAATTCTCCCAGGAGATCGCAAACATGGATCAAGGGGGCGTGGATTAGCGACGGGTCCCGTTTCCTGTGGAATTGAGGGGGGTCCGCCGCCGAGAGAGGCGGCACCGCCCGCATTTGGGGGAGGGCACCTCACCCGATCTATGGATCTGGCGACCGCGCGCCAAATCCAAGGATCGATCATCCATGTTTGCGCGCCTCCTATTCTCAAGAGGCTCGGACGTCCCCCGGCCTTCTGAGAAGTGTTCTGAGCGTTCCCCGAAGACACACAAACATTTATGAGAAGGCGCGAGGTTTTCTGAGAAGTCCTGCGCGTTCTGTGAGGGCTTTCTCCTCAGTTTCCCCTAACGCTCGCCGCCGAGGATCGAAGCAGGACAAATGGCGTAATTCTAGGTTTTCGAAGGGCCGCGCGGATGTCTTGGATCGGCGCTGGCACACCCTGGCGGCGCCTCTGACGCCGCCCCTGGCGCGCTCCGCGTGCCAGGGGGGGGGGCCAGCGCTGATGCAAGACATCTGCGCGGACCGTTGAGAATCTGTGCTTCTGCAGTTTTTTGTTGTCTTCTTTTTGCTCCTCCGGTGGAGGGGTGGCGCAGTGCTTGGGCGGGCCTGGCAGAGCCTACAGTGGAGACCCATGCCAAGAAAACCCTGCTCGCCTCCAGGGTGCCCAGTTTTCTTGGGTTTCCATGGTTTTGCTATGGAAAGCGTGACGCTCCCACACCAAAAACCAGTGGACGTTCTGGGGTCTCAGGGTTTGGCTTCTTGTGGAAGGTTTCCTTGTGGCCGGGCCCCTGCTGCACCGACCCAGCAGGGGGGGGCAGCGGAGGTGTGCGAGTGGCCGCGGCGACGGCCTGCAAGGGCACGGGCTCCTGGGAGCGCCGTCGGGCCGAGGGGGAGGCGCCGGGGGGGGGGGGGGGGGACGGTCGGTCGGGCTCGGCATGGCAGCGGTCTGCGCACCGCCTTGCCGCAGGCCTCCCGGGGTGAAGTCCGGGGAGGCGGGGCCGAAGGATCGCTTCGCATCGGCGATGCATCGACGGTGCGGCTCGATATGGAGCCAGAGCTTCTCCACGCCAATGGCGCCGACGCGTCGGCGACGTGGGCGATGCATCTTTGATGCGTCGCCGATGCATCGGCGATGCATTGGCGATGTGGTGCGATCCTCCGGCCTCATCTACTCGGAACCCATTTAAGAGGCCCTTATGAACGCTCTCACCCCGAGAGCTGCTTGTTTCGACCGCCACTCCCCAGCGAAGGGAGGCCAAGTCTTGAGCCCCAGGCGGCCCAACGCACAGAAGCGAGAGGGCGGCGGACGGCGCGAAACGCTGGAAACGACAGTGCGGAAAAGCAGGGGAATATGCAGTCGGCCTGCGGTTGGGGGGGAGTAGGGCACGGGCTCCTCGCGGCGCCGGCGGGCCAGCAGGGAGGCGCTGGGGGGGGGGGCAGGGATGGAGGAGGAGGGTTGCGCTGGAGTATCTCATCGTCGCGTTCCTGACGGCGCCTGGCGGCAGTCAGTGGGAGTGGATGCGTGTTTAGTTTGTGCGTGTAGGCGCAGCTTCTCTGCGGCTGGCAGGAGGAGCAGCAGGAGGAGGCGGAGGAGGAGGGGAAGGAGGAGGAGGAGGAGGACGAGTAGCAGGAGGAGGAGGAGGAGGAGGGGCAGCAGGAGGAGGAGAGGGGACGTGGGCCCCCTCTGCCCCCCCCCACCCCCCTTCCGAGGAACGCCGCTCGCCCAGGGCCGCCGCCGTCCCCACCAGGCGCGTCGCGGCCAGGACGGCCCTGGGAGGGGCTGCCCTCCTCGTCGTCGTCGTCGTCGTCGTCGTCGTCGTCCTTCCCCACGCCTCCCTCCTCTCCTGAGTAGAGCCCAGCACTGGGGCACGCCCCCACCTGCCTCTCCGCTCCGTGAGCGCTGCTGGAAGTCATGCCCCACCCTGAGGCCCGACGTTGCAGAAACATCGAAGCATCGCGAAGTAGTACGGCCAGAGCCCTAGACCACATCTTTCTGGCGCAATTTTCGCGCTGGATCGATCTGTGATGGTCCTGGGGCCCGAAACCGAGCGAATGCGCCCGGTGTAAGAAATTTGCCACGCACGGACCTGAGGGCAGGCAACAACAACTTTCAAACCCAGCCCGCAGGACCCGACCCGCCTTCGCCGGGCTCCGCGGCAGCCGGCGCCTCTTTGCCGCCGCGCACTCCCGCGCGCTTGGGCCCAGCGCCGCCCACCATGGACGTGGCGCGCTCAGCAGCAGGGAGCCGTTGAGCGCGCGGCGTTCCCCATAGCTTTTGAAGTCGTGATCAGGCAGGGGGGCCAATGCACCCCTGACCCAGAGGAATTCACGAGAGAGACCTCGCGCAAGTGGGAAAAGAGCAGGAGGACGCAAGTCGGGATGCGACTGAGAATGTGTCGGAGGGAGGAAGCAGAAGGAAGGATTACAAGAAAGACCTTGGCGTCCCGAGCTGGTCGGCACCACGTAATGATGGCCCCCATCTGCATCTGCTGCTTCGCTGTTTAACCAGGAGGTCCACATCTGACAGGTACGGGCTGCTCTCGGTAAAAGGCATACATCTAATTCCGTGGAGGTCCCTGCGGGTTTCTCGGATCGGCGTTGGGCCCTCCTGGCGGCGCTCTCCGGCGACACCCCAGCGCGCTCCGAGCGCCATGGAGGCGGTTCATCGCCGATCCAAGAAACCCACGCGGATATCGGAGAATCATGCTTAGTTTATACAGTATTCGGCCTCTCTAGATTAGGGGCGCCCTTCCGAGCGGTGAGGGCTGTTCGGCTTCTTTAAGGATGGATCGAGAGAGAAAAAAAACACGGCAGCAAGGGCACACGCCGCCGTTGGGCGCCCGTCAGGGTGCTGCTCCGTCGTCGTTTTCTGTTCGAAGGCGTGGTGTCTCCTCAGCCGTACAGCCGGACCGAGGCGTAAGATCGAGGTCGGCTCGGGGAAAAAAAACACGGCAGCAAGGGCACACGCCGCCGTTGGGCGCCCGTCAGGGTGCTGCTCCGTCGTCGTTTTCTGTTCGAAGGCGTGGTGTCTCCTCAGCCGTACAGCCGGACCGAGGCGTAAGATCGAGGTCGGCTCGGGGAGTGCACCCTGGTGTTCTTCTTCCTTGCTGTCGGAGGAGGAAAGGGTACCCCATACCGCTGCCCCTCCCTCATTTTCCCCTCGTTGGGCCTCCTGGGAGGCTCTCGTCCCCACCGTTGGATTCGCCTCGAAATTCTGGTCAGAACGCACCCCGGGAGATGTCCGGGGAGTAGCGGTATCGGTACCTTATGGTTTCTCCATTGTTGGGTGTCATCATGAGGGGGGGTACCCCTGGATGGTCTGTGCGTTTTGGCCGGCGGGGGGTCCCATGTTCTTGAGGGATGTTCTTCTGGCCTTTCGTCCGACTGCACTCCGTCGTCTCTGTTCGGAGGCGTGGTACCTCCTCAGCTGTAAAACACCGCGACAGGTGGCGACAGAACCGACCCCGCACGCCGTGGCCGACAGGCCCCCCAAGCATCCCCCTGTGTTCCTTATCGTCGGGCCGCGGAAGAAGGAGCCCTGGGCTCGTCGTGTGCAGCACGTGTGGCACGCGTGTCGTGCACCCCTGCCGCCGCACCCCGTACGGGGCTTCGAGGCTCAGGGGCAAGGAGCCGTGGCACGGCTGCTCTCGCGGCACTGGCATGGGTCTCGCAAGGCAGTGCCCTGTTCTAGCACTCAGGCGTGGCGCTGGTGCCAAACAAAACAAATCATATTGTCGGGCCGCTGAAGAAGGAACCCTTTTCGTTGGGGAGGGGTTCAGTGCTCCTTGACTGTTTTGCAGTCTGCCTCAGGTGTTCCTTGAGTTTCTATGGGAGATCAGAGCTTCACTTATGGAAAGAAAAGGACATCGTTCCTTATTCTCGTATTCCTTATGACCGCGTTCCGACCGTACATAGTATCCCGGCTCGCATCTTCGACGACTGGTGACATCAACGATGACAGCTCCAAATGAAAGACACGAACATCGCACATACGGAGCAGGCATACACTCGCCGACCCAGCGGGCCCGAAGGAACGCGAAGATCTCTGGTGAGAGGGTCCGAGTGTCCGTTTGCATATGTTACTTGTTCGCGCCCGCGGGGCGGCCAGCCGCTGTGTGGGTCCCTGGACGAAGGGTACCCCAGGACCAGCGGGTCAGAGACGGTTCGGGCCTCACGAGACGGGGGTCACTGCAAACGGGGGTCAGACAGAGCGCCGGATCTTGCAGGATCCTGCAGGGCCAGGGGCGCACTGACCGGGCTTGGGTGCAGGATGCTCCAGGATCCTGCATGATCTCGCAGGATCCTGCAAGGCCTGGCTGATTCGGGTCTGGGTTGGCCTGGGTCCGAAGATCCCCGAGCGGTTTTCGTCCTGGCCGCGGCTCGGACGGCCTCCAAGAGCCCTCCAGGAGGGCCCCATGAGGCCCGTAGGAGAGCTCAGGACGGTCCGACACCACTGCCCAAGCGTGCTCCATGACATCCAAGATGGTTCCTTGACGGTCCAGGAGGGCTCCAAGACGCCCACAGATGCTCCCCAAGAGGGCCCAAAGAGGGAGGTTTCATGGATTTTCTTTCGGTTGTGGCAGGGCTTCTGCGTTTTGTTGTTTTTGGTCGCGCTTCCGGCCGCCTGAGACGCACGACCCCGAAGACAATCCACAGAGGCCCCAGAAGTTTCTAAGAATACCTTCAAGAGTCCTTCGACAGACTCCAAGAAGCTTCCCAAGTAGGCATCTTGTTCACGACCCAGCCTGGCTGGGTCGTTAGCAGGTGGCCGAAGGTTACTGGGTACAAGGAGGGCCAGCGTCCTGGCCCCAACCCAAGATGCTATCGACACAGCCTCAGCAATCTTCATGAAGACCCGCGATGGAATCAACAGCGCTTGCCCCCCAAGACGAGCCCCTTGGCAACTGCTTAAGAGTCTGGGACTGCCCACGCCAAACCTCAAGACAACTACCGCCAGCCAGCAGCTCCGCGATGGCAACGAACGCGCTGGCAACGCCCGCGACGCGACAGCGTTTGCCGGCGGGGTGAGCGAACCGATTAAATTCGGCGGGCCCGTGCGGACCCTGGCCGCGTTGGTTTCCGAAGTTACCTGATGGAGGAGAGCGGGATGCATGTGCAAATGCATGCTAGGAGCGGTCTCGCGCATTCCGCCCGGCGATGTCCCCTGGACACATGCAATAACGTAATCCGCGCTCCCAGGGTCACGAAGGCGTCAATTCGGCACACCCCTCTCGCATTCCCTGCGCCCCCAGGCCTCTCAGACACGTGCGATGTGAGGGATTTGAGCATCAGTTTTCGTAGGAGCCTCAATTCAGCACGCCTCTCATGCACTTCGTGCATCATGGGAGTTCAGCTGGCCCAGAAGGCAGCTCTTTGCGGCTTCACTGCGGATCACTTCTTACGCATTTCATGCCACATGGACCTCCAGGGGCGGGTCGCTGGCCCTCAAGACGGCTGAAGAGAACCCCAAGCTGGCACATCCCTCCGGACGCAGTCCCTGTTTCATGGACTCAGAGACCCTCAGCTGACCACCCAGGCGGTTCAATGGAGCCTCGGTTCGGCACGCTTATCACACATTTCGTGGCCCCTGGACCCCAAACGGTTGTCTGTTGGCTCCTGAGACCGCCTGCCTCTCCAA